GGGCAGCCCCGCTGGAAAAATCTCGATGGCGAGCGCGATTTCACGCGCGATTATTTATAACCGGGTGCTTGTAAACACGCGTACTTTGGCGTCGGCCGCGAACCGCCCGCCATTTCTTCGCCAGTTACCGATGCACAAACGAACGGTGAACGTTGCTCCACCGTTTCTTGCCAGACGTCTATTTCGATGGCAGCTCGCTGGTATAGCGGTCACTTCGATTCGCTCGTGATCGAATTCTCCTCGAATTCTCAGTTGGATCAGTGAAAGAATCGTAGCCGGCTTTCGTTCGCGAGTGGTTCCGTGATAGTAGTGAAAAATTGATGGGAGAAGTGAATCGTATCCGGTGTGGAACGATTAGAATATAAATTCATTGTACGAAGAAGTAATCGTTTCCTTAAAAATTTTATTTTTATTCTTGTCGATATTAAAAAATTTCGAATTTAATAGGAGGAAAACAAATAAAATTAGAATCGAAGAACGAAAACTTTTTCTTATAATCGAAAAGAAATTGTTTAACGTAAGTAAGAGAGTTTAGAAAGGAAAAAAAAAAAAAAAAAAAAGAAAAGAAAAGAAAAGAACTCGGATAAATACATTTTTTTCTGTCATGCTCCGCCATTAGACCGTCGCACCGGCCCACATTATTCTCACGTAGTAGTCGCGTTACCCGTTTTTTCAAGAGGCGACAAGCATCTCTCCGTACGTTTCGAAGCTCGTCCCTCTCGGTGAGTCGACACGTCACGGTGGAGAAAGAACTGGGAGGGCGTGAATCCGTGAATGTTAAGCGCGAGCACAGCATAAAACGGAACACGGGAGGATGGTACGAGACCGTTTCGGAAAAAGATCCCAAAGCCAAACTCGATTCTGACAGATTGCCAAGCGTCTGAGGTCGCGGTTACGCAAGAGAGACGTTAAACTCGTTCGATCCACGATTCGAACAATAATAATCCACGATCGCGGAGCGGATATCATGCTGGTGGCCGTGTCTGCAAGAGATTCGTATAAATTGGATAAACGGATCTGTGGACGGATATGGAACACGGTGCGAACGATGATTCGGTTCTTCTGATACGTTGGCGGTCGATCGATGATTAATCGTGATGGGATTAGAGTAAACTCGGTACCGTGTGGACTCAGTGATTTTTCCACGGTGGAGTTATTGTTTATTTTTCTATTTTTTTTTTTCGTTTGGAAAATATATATTTTCAACGTTGGAAGAAACGGGTCTATTTTAACGCGACTCGAAGGGAAAAAGGGGGAAATGTTGGAGAGCGAAGAGAGAAGAATATTTGGGTATTTTTTTCTAGGGAAACACTTTTGCTTTGAGTGAAAATATTTTCTCGTTTTAATATTTGCAAGTTTGGATTTGTTTCAAAGTAATTTAAAAGGAAAAGGAAAGTGGAGAAAGAAGCGAGTGGGAATATTTTTCTCGACGAATTGGAAACTTTGATTTTTATAAAATGGGAAAATAAACGATTGATTGTAAAGTAATTTGAAAGTGAAAAATTGGAAAAGTGAATATTATCGAAATTGGAATATTATCGAAAATTGTGAAATAAATGTTTACTTATAATTTAAAAATAAATATTTAAAGTGGCCAATAAAGTGAACTTGACTTGATATTAAAATAATTTTAGAGTGAGAAAAGAAATAAAATGAATAATAAAGTGAATGAATTTCGATTATTCGTTTGAGAGGACTAACAACAATTTTGAAATTTTCATGGTAAATAAACGTGTTAATATCGTACGAGAACAAAACATCTTCTTAATATATTTTTCGATATTTCCAAATATTTACGTTTCACGGTGGAAAGAAATATCGACACGAATAAATTTCTAAATGAATATCTCAATGTTGATATTCGCTTTCGAGTTATGGAAGTACCTTCGCCTCTTTCACGCGTGTTTTCAAATCAAACCTCGCATTTGAATATAATGGCGAAGATGATTCTTATCATCCTAAAGTTTAAACGTCGAACTGCTGATCGCAAAGTTTAAATCATTCAAAATCATTTAATCAATTTAATATAAAAAGTTTTACTTACTTTTCGAAACTCAGGATCGTACATAAACTTCGTACAAATACAACGAGAAAACTGTATTTCAAAATATTAACCAAAGAATCGCGCATTCCTCCCAAATTATTTCCAAGAAGAAAATCGAAAACCAGTTTCATCGAAAAACGAACGCGCCGACCTCCTCTCACTCGACAACAATTTATATATACACAAAATAACGCGAGTATACAACATCGCGTTTAAAACCTCGACCAAATCGAACGATCAAACGATAAAAACTAACTAAATTTCCATGATCTACCTATCCCCCTTTTTAAAAATCGCCCGATAACGCTTATTCACGAGTAATAAATTGATCCAAAAAGCCAAAAAAATCCAAACTTTTCGGCGAAATCGTTAAGAATTCGCCAAAAAAGGAGGTGATCGAAGCTTTAAAAGAAGAAGAAGAAGAAGAAGAAGAAGAAGAAGAAGAAGGACGGCTCGAGAACCGGAAACATGAAGAACGGTCACCCGATTATAACAGCGACGTCGTCGTCGAGCCTGGTCAATCCGGATTCCACGTCCTCGAACGAAGCTACGGAACCGATCATCAGATTGAAGCTGGACAAGCCGTTGAACTGGGAGTGGGAGCTGACCACGTCCGCGGACACGCTTCCTGTCATCCAGCTGTTGGACAAGGATGGCCGCGTTCTGGTCGAGACCAGTGGGCGCACGGCCCAGCGGGCCAGGGGCTCGTTTCGAGAGGGCCTCAAGTCGCACGAGGAGTTCCAGACGAGCGAGGGACAGTCCTCCAAGCTTTCCTCCTCTTTCGCGTCCTCCTCCGCGTCCAGCCCTCCGCCGCCGGCCCCCGTGCAAGGGAACAGGAACGTGGACGGGTTCAGCAGCAAGTTTGGCACCTTCCAGTTCGGTTACAAGCCTACGAAATCGAGGAGCGAGGTATCGGTGAAGGAGAGGGATAGGAAGGGGGGGAGGAGGAAGGATCGAAGATCGGAGGAGCGGAGAGATTCGAGCAAGTACTCCATGGGCGATTACCTGAGGCAACAGATCATAGACGATCTCGGGAGGAGGGACACGTTGGGCAAGAGTGCCGAGGAGATCGCGAGAGAGAGGTGCAAGAAGGTGAAGGCTTACCTGAGGAGTCGAAGCGAGACACTGCCGAGCCTGGTCCACGTGGAGGAGCAGGAGGAGGAGGAGGAGGAGGAAGAGAAGGAACACCCGAGGAACGAGACTCGTCGTCGTCCGAGAGGCGAAGCCATCTCTCAGGAAAGGGAGTCGAAAACGGCGATGGACGACAAGGTGAGGGGCAACGCGTCGCCCGTCGAAACTTCAAAACGGAGGGAGGGCGACGAAGCTGGGAGCGAGAGGAAGAAGGAGGAGGAATTGGAGAGGGTAAGATCGTTCCTACGAAGGAAGATACAGCAGAGGATGGAGTTGGAACGATCGACGGTCGGCGTTCGGAAGAGGTACTCGTGTTACGGCGAGGCGGAGGAGCAGCGGGGTTATCGCACTCGAAAGGTGCGGAGCGAGACGAGCGTGATCAGGTTCGATCGGGAAATCGTGGAGAGGGAGAGGCAGAAAGGGAGGCAGATGGAGAGATGGTCGAGGGACAACAACGGGTCTCGTTGTTCCAGGGATAAGTCCGGACAAAAAGCGTACGGACGTTCGAGGAGCGAGACGATCCTCGAGGCGGCGGAAACGGGCGGCGGTCGACAACTGAGCTTCGAGACGAGGGATTCGGCCGAGAAACGGAAGCCGTACCGGAAGACGAGGAGCGACGCGTTGGTGGGTGGCAGGAGCGCGGACTCGGAGCAGGAGGGGGATCGTTGGAGAGGGGTGGCGAGGAGGAGGCAGGACACGACGGCGATGGAGGAGACGTGGCGCGAGTACAAGGAGAGGAAGAAGAACGAGAGGTTGCGTCGCGACGCGGAGGGGAAGGNGGTGAAGGAAGAAGAGGAAACCGATCTATGCACTTTCCACGATTGCAAGATCTGTCAGAATCTGAGGGATTGCGTGGCGAATCGTGCGCGGGGGGAGAAGCAGATGAGAAATCTCGAGCATGGGAGGGGAGCAGGGGATGATCGCGACGATTCCTCCGAGCTTCTGATTTCTCTGAACGATTCCGCGAACGAGGAAGGCCGAGCTGGTACCAGTCTTGGGGAGAACTGTCCGCTCGACGAGGTCGATGCCTCCCCGACCAAGAATCACGTACTCGTCAAGGTTCGAGGGAAGAATCACTCGTTCAACGTGAATTCGCCTGATTGCGGTTACAATACGATTCCTAAGAAGACTTTTAACGATTACAAGGAATTGTACGCGAGATCGAACGTGAAGAAGAGCGACACGTTCAAGATCGTGGATGGAAGCGAGGGGATCGAGGAAGGTGTTGAGGAGGAGGAGGAGGAAGAGGAGGAGGAGGAGGGGGAGGTCGTTGGGGATGGATCGATCGACAGTTTCGATTATTCGAACGGCGAGGGTGTGTTGACGAACAAGTCGAACGAGGATATCGCGAGGGATTACTTTAAAAGGGTGTACGAGTTGCTGAAGAGACGGCAGAGGGAGGCGAGGAGGGTCGCGGAGAAGCAGGAAGTGGCGGGACGCGATGATTCGTCGTCGTCTAATTACGCGGAGAAGGTGCAAAAGAGGAGACTGCGGCGAAAGAAAAAGGGCACGCAAGGTAAGAAACGAGAACTTTCATGTTTTGTCCCTCTGCTTTTGGAATGCAAAGATGCGTTCTGCTTTTTTCCAACGATTCCACGTAGTGGAAGTAATTAATAGATTTCTTTCTCCTCGTTTTCCCCCGTCCAAGGAACACTCGTCTAATTGCGAAATTAATTGCTTTCGCGCGATGAAACTGACGATATTGATGATAATTAATACGAACAATTTTTTCGTATAATATTTCGTGTAAATGTTATGTATCAACGTTATATTAATTCTACTTATCGTTTATCTTTAAGATATTTCCTTTCTATAGCATGTCACGAAATAATACGAATAATTACACGTAGTATTTATTCGATATTAGAATTACATTTTATAGGATCAATTAATAATTTCATCTAGACACTAATTCACGATTCTAATTCACGTAATCGAACTTGTATTCACGCCTCGAATATTTCGCTATACAATAGCTATTCCTAAAACCCTCGACTAATTACGCAAGCTAATTGAAAAGGAAGCACGGTCGTTCAAAGAAACAGCATCATTAAGATATCTACTTCGCCGAGACACATTTCTTCCTAATTATACGAAGAGATAGATATACATAAAGAGAGGATACAAAAGATTTCTCGCCAAAATATTCTTAATCGTTAACACGTTAACAGAGAGACATTATTCTCTTAATGGAAAAACTTTAAGCAACTTTCGCCTCGTTTTTCAACCTGTTCTTGCTTTATTTACGCGACACGGGCTTCCCGGAAATATACGCGTAATATCCCAGAAATATATTCACCGGTGACATTACGACGAAACTTTCGTGTTATCGAGGCTTGTTAAACATTATACGCACATTTTATCTTGAACAATGTCGTCACGAGGCCGAGAATGGACGCGAGAGAATTTTAGGGAAGGAAAAGAAGAGCGAAATAAACGGAGGTTCAATCGATGGCTCCCTCGTGTGTTCTTTCGTGGCAAGTGCTGTAAATCCTTCTGGAATTCGCTTGGGATAATCTGATACAAACGGTGGTCGAGCTGGTATTAAGATTTCTTCTTCTTCTTTTTTTTTTTAAATAAAGGAAGAATAGAAAAAACGATTGAAGTTTGGATGATGTGAAAATTTGAAATTCTGATCACTAATTCAAATGATGGGTGGTTTACTTCCGTTCGACGATTTATCGAGTAATAATATTAATAAACGAACGATTCACGATTTCAGATTGTATTATACCGTGAGGAAAGAATTTCAGGATTCCGTATTTGACGATATCCGAATCTGAAATGCAATAGCTTGATGGGATTGCCCGATTGAGGTAGAAATTCGAATTAAAGAATATTGAACTTTATAAGAAATTTGTAGTGGAGATTTTATAAAATCATTTTATAAAATACAGGGATCGTATTCAATTAAAAATTAATTACGAAGTTATAACTTAATTTAATCTTCTGAGATTCAGGAATACTAATCGTGATTGAATTACGAATTTATGAGATTAATGTTTGACCGAAGAAATATATATTAAAACGTAATTTAAATAATTTTAAAAAAGAAAATAAGAGAATTTTTTTAAGATCTTCTATCGGTTTATTCGGGAAAATTTATTAAATTTTATTATTGAATAATACGAGTTTGAATAATAAACGAGTGGGTATCATTGAAAATTTGGTCACGTCCACGTAGATAGTTAGATATAGCGGGTGTTCAATTCTCATCGGAAATTGGATTACGCGCTCTTTGAAGCTTTTAGTGATTTCTCGAGCCGAGTATTTCAACCAAATGCCCAACGAAATAAAGGTCGGATTAAAGTGGCTTTTAAACGCTTGCTGACATTTCAGCTATCGTTCGATAACGTCGCAAACGAATTTGCAATCCGGGAATAAACCGAATAAGTCGGTGACTAATCAACGATACTTCGATTAATTCGATGGAAAGTAGCTAGATTAAAATTGTATCATTTCGAGACGACACGAAAGTTCGTTTTGTGGAGAGAGAGAGAGAAAAAAAAGAACTTTTAATCATTTTAAAACTCGGAACAATTTTAGAAAAAACATTTTTTACGAATTATTGTTTGAATTAAACAATTTCAAACTGTATTGGAAAAATATTGTTGCCAAATATTTATCTTTTTCCAGTTATCACGTACGAGTTATTAATAGATATATAAAAAAAAAAAAAAATTGTGTAGAAAATACACCATATAGATAATAAAAATATGACGAAATTTAATTCTGAAATTTAACGATAAATTGATCTTTTATCGATAGTCGAAAGGATATTATTCGAATACTATTTACATAATTTTTATTAATTTACATAATTATCGAGATTTAATTTTGAAATTTGACGAAAAAATTGATCGTTTATCGATAGTCGAAAGAATATTCGAATACTATTTACATAATTTTTATTGATTTTTACATAATTATCGTTTTCTTTCGATAAGTCTGGCATATTTTCTTTTAAGCAAATCTATATTAAATTCGTACAATCCTTCGTTAGGACACGCTATGAATTCAAATAATGGCTTTTTAGTCTGCAAATAGGCGCATAAAACAAAACTGCTGTGCATGCACTATTCTCCTTTGTTGAATAACCGTTTGTGAGCACGAAACGCAATCACGATAAGCTTCACTACGTGCGCACTATTACTTCATGATGAATGTGTATTATTTTTGGCGCTAACTGAACGTTAATCTCGTGTTGGTAGTAGTGGTAATTAATAAACGGCATTTATTGTTTTTTTTCTTTTTTTTTAAAGGAAGGCGCGAAAAGGAAAAAAAATACGACACGAAAATAAAATTCTTCGAGAAAATATTTGAAGTTAAATGAACTGGAAGAATTCGATTATCTTGCGAATATAATTCTTATAAATATTCCCGACGTGTTTTAAATTCTCTTAATCCTTTGCTGTAAAATTTAATCAAGGGAATCAATATTTAATAATTAATATTTAATAATTTTCGAAATTCTAAGATTCGTCTCAATCTTGTCCTAGAAACTACTAAATGTCGTTATAAAACAAAAGATTGAAAATTGAAAATCCTAATAAATTTAATAATTGTCTTGATAAATTATCATCGCGTTTCAGAAGATCATATTAGATATATATATTAACAAAAATATATACATTCCACGATTAAATCAATATTTCTATTTTAAACAAATTCTTTTCAAAGAAAAGACTTTCAAAACTTATTTTATATTATTTAATAATCTATCAATTTAAAATACATTCTCGATAAATTTACGAGAAAAAAATGTTCACGTCAAAGAATATTGGACTTGTTATTACCTAGAGTAAAATTGTCCCATATGCCTTTTTTTCTTTTCTTCTTTTTTTCTAACGGAACAGAGATATAGCCTGACCCAATTGCAAGACTCGTATTGCACACTTGCACCCATATATTTTCTCTCTCTCCCCTTTTACTCTGATCTCTCTCTCATTCAATTTAGACAAACAACACGGATATCTCCATAATACCCGTTCATTCAAAATTTTGAACAGCGTATTATTGGGCTCAACTCGAATTTCTCATTTAACTAACTACGATGCTTCTCTGTATCGCCATTGCGCCTCATTTATATATACCACAACCCTCATTCGTATCCACTACCCTCATTTGAACGCACGATTCAAAGAAAATCAACACGGTGTCGCCCGCATCGATCAACTTAACCACCGCGAATTTAATTATATCCAGCTCGAGTATGCGTCGACGTATACTCGGAGGATTTCACCAGGAGAAGAGGTGGGCCAAATATTTAATAACTCCACTTTGAAGGAGTATACGGGATCAATTATATAGCAAATAAGTTCGAATGTTCGAATCGATTAGATTCGTATCTTTGTAAGTATTTTGAAAAAAATAGTTGTAAAAAAAAATAGACAGAAGAGAAAATGATTCGAAGTAAAATTATGATTAACATAATCAATGATTCGTTATTTATTTGAAATTAATTATCTTGGATATTTTTAATTAATGTGGAAACTTGTAAGTAAGATTGGAAGACAGATTATGAGGATCGAGGTTTGCTAAAATATTTGTGATTATTTTGCAGTTTTTTTTTTGCAATATTATTGTGTTGTTGATGAAAGTAACTATTTAGTTTTCACTTGAAATTCGACGACAACAACATTATAAATAACATTATAAGTTTAATGAATTTGTTAAGTTAGTATCAATTTGAAGAAGAAAACATTGTTGTTTCTTTTTTATAATCCATATGATACACTGTGCATTTGCAAGCAACTTTAATGTGATTTTAATTCCAAATCTTGTCTATAAATTAAATTTGGCTCAGATCTTTAAGTTATACGTTAAACTTGCATTAATTGCAAGAGAAGAAAATAATTATTGCGAAAGAGAATCGATAGAATTTGATTTCGAGGGAGATAATTTTGATCAAAAGTCGTCTCTTCTTGGTGGAAGAACACAGTTGGTCCTCAGTGACAGGCTTTCAGCTAAAAAGATTAGCGGCGCGCCTTCGACCAGGAAGTCTCGTGAAAATCAGCTGAAAGCTCTGCCGCGAATCTCTGTCTCTGAAGCGACTCCTCTTTTTCTTTCTCACTTGACTTTGGTCTTTTTTGCCTTGGGACGATCGTCAACTACTTCTGAAAATCTTTCAGAGGCCGAGATAATTGGTACTGTCTTCTTTCCCGACAAAGTTTTACACGAAGCTGGGCTGCTACAAGCGATTCAGGAGAACAATGAGATTTTGTTTTGGTTTGACCGATCTTTTTTCTCCCCACTCCCCCTTTTGACAATTGAAAGTTGGTGACAGGTTTTTATCGAGGCGAGTTCAAAAGTTTGGAACGTGAATGGATAAAACGTGTGGAAAAATATATACGCAGAATAATATTCCACAAAAATAACAGAAATCGTAGACTTAAAGTCGAAGCGTTGTGATTTCTTTAATTCTTATTTTGATAATATCATTCGTGAAAAAATAATAAATACAAATTGAAGATTAAGTAAGAAAAGAAAAAAAAGTAAAAAGCTATGTTTTTAATC